CGTGACCTTTAGGTGGAAAGAGAGCGCGTTACAAGCGACCGTGACATAAGAAGTGGAACATTTTGGTTTGCGAACGTTTTTTAGTATGCGTAACATTTTATGAAGGCTTGTATGTGGTTCTAGCGTATCGCAATTTGGGGTCACAAATAAAAATATCACCTCAGTAGTCTGTCTAACCTTGACTCCATGTTTCCATTATTGAGTTATAGGCGAGATTGCGTCACACATTTGAATATTGCTGGTTTACACATTACGTCATCAAAAACTCAAAGGAAAGAATTATCGATCCTCCTGAGTTCTTACTTTCGGGAATTATTAGAGCCGCTAAAAACTAATATTCAGAAAAATTTTCACTGCGAAAAAGTTCTTCGGTTTGTGATACAGTACGCTGAAATTTCTAAGCTTTTGCGTGACGCGGCATTTACATGGTAGCCTGCGAGCAAGCTCTCCGGGCGCGCTGGGGGCGAGGCAGGAAAAGAAAGGAGAGCTTGCAACTACCTCTCTGGAATTTGAATTCTACCTCCAATTCGCCTGTGGCTCCCCGTCGACTGAGCTGTCAGATTTTCGCCAATCAGCGCGAAGCGGAAACGAGCGCGATTGTAAACAAACATTGAAAAACACGTGCCAAGGGTAATGGCGTCATTACTAATGTCATCTCCGCCAATCAGCATTTTGCTCGACTTATTCATTTTCCAGGGACGTAGCTGTAAGCTCTCCCTCCTTTTCCCGCCCAGCCGCCAGAACGCCCCAGAGGGCTTGCTCGTAGGCTATTTACATGGCGGACGAGAGAGCTGCCATGAAGGCTGAAAAATTGACTCTGTTGGGGGGATTTTGCTATCTGAATGGTCATTGTATTAATTTCAATGTTAATGAGTTCCTCAAGAGATGAATTCACCCTTAAGTAGCACAACTCCGTGACACATGTTTCTGTTGGTTTCCGGCCGCCATGTTAGTGACCATCCGGATGGGCACCAACAATGCCTTTCCATACAAAGCTCTATAAATGTAGGTAAAAAAATTCTCCGAATTTCTCGCGCATGAAAAACTGCACCGACCTGAATCTTGGCGAGGGCCTTTGTATATTTACCTTCTTTCATTTCCCAGATTCTAGACTTTATCTATTACACGGGTTTGATTTTTATTTTTAATAGCGTGACAGGGAAAACCTGCAATAGCGTTACATTTTTTCTACATGTAAATGTCATTGCCATTTTCTTTAATCATTTAGCAAAGTTTGGCTGATGAGTATGAAGTTAAGGAGGATCAACATTCTATACACCAAGACCAAGAAGACATTGCAGTGTCTCCGCAACAAAGCAACAAAGATGCCGTTCTTGTTTTCTACTATATATGGAAAAACTGCTTTACTCAACTTAAACGTGGTTAAGGCTTGTATTCTCATGTAATCCTGACTAGTGCAATCGATAGAGTCGATAATCGATAATAATGGATAACTCTCGATAAAGAGCTATTGATTAAATTGAAAATCGATAAAAATTGATAGAGGAAAAAGTTGTTGCTAATCGATAATTATCGACTTTAATCGATTTTTATCGAAGTTGTCGATTTTAATCGGCTTTTACTTAATTCGGTTAACATTGGCAAAGAACGTTGTTTCCGAACATACGTACATTATTTATGTGGCTATGGACGGTTAAATTTGTAGCGAAATTTATTTCACAAATTGCACTCAATATTCTAAGAAAACATTTTCGGCCAATCGACAGGATAAAAAAGAGTCATAAGCAACTGATTCAGCTTGCTTGCACTGGAAACTGTTCAAGTTGAACCCTACAATGTATAGTTCAAGTGGTGAGTATACTGTTCAGTGTACAGTTTTTCAGCAAGACCCTTAAATTGCTTCTTCAAAAAGCATATTGGAAAGAATCATTTAAATCGCTCTGTAAATATGCAAAACAAAGTAGATATGAACTCAGCAACTAAATGGAAAGAGAAGTAACATGACCATAAAACATGAAAAAAATGTGAGAAAATCATCATTTAAAACAAAAAACATCTGCATATTGCTAATATAATTTGCTGTAAAATAATACATCCTTGGATTTTGAACCTGGGAGGCAATCGATAATATCGTTAAAATAGGTAAAAACGATAGCGCTGGCAATTGATTTTCTGATATCAGTTTTCACCGATTGCGCTAGTCAGGTGTAATATGCAAAAGTTGTCTCTTTATTTAATGATCCGGGAACGGAGAAGCGCCTATTTATGAAAGAATTAGTGAACTATAAAGACGTTTCGAAAAATCAGAGAGAGGTTTGGGGATCAAGCAGGCTTACTACAAAACTAAATTTGGTATCAGGCCTACTAAAGATCCGGCTGACCCTCACTGGTTTGTCGTTGTGGTTGTGCCTTCACAAGTGTTTTTTATACCACAAAACGTAA